ATCTTGTAATTACTTGAAGATGATGAGGGTGAGAGAGTAAATATGTTATTTTCGAAACCAAAAAAAAAAAAAAATTTGATGGCATTTTCGTGAATTATATGAACTTGTGGGGTGAATTGGGCAAAATAAAGTTCCAAAAAAAAGGGAGGTTAGTTTTGTGGTTGACTTCAAGTTTCAGGTCAATTCTGCAAAAAGCCCTCATTAATCTTGGGGATACCTCTAATAACGACTTTACTATGCGGCACGGTCTCTGCCGCCTCCATTGCACTCTACATAACTTACATAGATTTCATGAACAATTTGGGTCACTGCAACTTCGAGCTCGTTCCCAGATCTTTTTTCTCTCTTTTCCCTCCTCTTAAGTACCTCTGCTACACTCCTTCGTAAGTCCTTCAAGATCCACATGAATAGTAATATTTCATCACTACAATTATATTCCACTTTTAACAAATTAAAACACTAGAAATTTTGGTTATCAAACACAAAACATAAATTATACACTTTTAGGAATACCATCTTGACACATTAAAACATTTTTTTTTGACACTAAACATGTATAATAATTGCAGATTTCACTCTCTCCACCACACGCAATTCAGGACGAACTATTCTCTATTCATGCCAATGTACGACTACATTTATGGGACCAACGACAAGTGTAGTGACTCATTGTATGAATCATCGTTGGAGCAAGAAGAAGAGAAGCCTGACGCAATTCATCTCACCCATCTAACATCACTGGACTCTATTTACCATCTCCGCCTTGGCTTTGCTTCCCTCTCCTCGCATCCCCTATCTTCTCGGTTTTACCTAGTCCTCATGAAACCAATCACTCTCATCATCTCCTTCTTACTAACCTATTTCTCTTCTCGAACCTTTGTCTTCGAGAGAAACCGCTTTGGTGATATCACCCTTCACTCCCATCTCCTTCCCAAGCTCTCCTATCATGTTTGCCTCTACTCTCTCTTCTTTAATCTCTACAATATATCAAATAGTTACAGGTCTTGTAATTAACTTTGTTTGTCAATCAACAGTACAAGTCGCAGCAGCAAAAGGAAACTATCAACAAAATGATAGAGACGGCTATTCTTGAAGCGGAGAAGAAGGATGTGAGAGTAGTGAGTTTGGGGCTACTGAACCAGGCATGCAATTAATACATCAATTAGCTATTATAAGTAAAATTCTAACTAAAGATAGACCCCATATATTATACATATTTAAACCCTAATTAATACTATTATATGATTAGGGAGAAGAATTAAATGGGTACGGAGAAATGTACGTAAGGAAATATCCAAAGCTAAAGATTAGGATAGTAGATGGAAGCAGTCTCGCAGCTGCGGTGGTGGTTCATAGTATTCCTGCTGGCACGAGAGAAGTTCTCTTTCGAGGCCAAATCACAAAAGTTGCTCGCGCCATTGTCATTTCTCTTTGCCAAAGTGGCATCAAGGTACATGTATAATCATATTATATGCTTGTTTTCCTCTAGTTTTCGATAGTTATAGAATTTATAATATATATTACTTTACGTGTCAGAGCTAGTATGATCGAAGGCAAATAAAAAAGTAGTTCGACATTGTAACTTGAACATGCAAACATGTATTCAAAAGTGAAGTGTCATATAAACGTTATGCATGTAAACGTTATGCTATTATCTTTCTAGTCAGTTCTTAGATAGCTTATTTCTTACACGTAGACAATGTCACATGGCCTACTTACGTCCAATTCAATTTAGCGTTTTGGTTTTGGGTTACAAAATATATCCATAATATTTTGCTACACTTGACTGTACTATATACTTAGTTCATATTTTAGATTTGATCACTCTTAATAAACTATTTCCATAAATAGGTGATGGTGTTACATGCGGAAGAGCACTGCATGCTAGCCAGATTCATTGGTGGGCACTGCAAGGAAAACCTGGTCCTCACAACCAATAACTACCCAATAGTATGTGACATTTATACATCATAACAATCTTTTTGTAAAAGCTAATGAGAACTATTTTCATAAAACTATGTAACCTATATATGATCTATAGATTTGGTTGGTGGGAGATGGGCTAAGCAAAAAAGAGCAGAAGAGGGCGAGAAAAGGAACTCTCTTTCTTCCGTATTCTCAGTTTCCTCCTAGAGAACTTCGAAAAGACTGCTTTTACCATACCACTCCGGCCATGATCATCCCCGACTCTGCCCAAAACATCGATTCTTGTGAGGTATATACATGTTTTTAACTCTAGTATAACTATTTATTATAACTAACTATAATATGTAAGCTAACACATATGTTTGTATAAAATATAGAATTGGCTAGGGAGGAGAGTGATGAGCGCGTGGAGAGTTGGTGGGATAGTGCATGCGCTTGAAAAATGGGAGGAACACGAGTGTGGTCTTGAATTTCCAATGCTTAATCCTCCAAGAGTTTGGGAAGGTGCTCTTCGAAATGGTTTCAAACCTCTGGTTTTGCCAACTTTAGAGACCAAAAGATTGGGAAACTCATACTAGTAGTTTACTGAAGGTTGGTCCCATATAATTCGTACTAGAGACCAAAAAGAAATTGTAAGAGGTAAACCGTAGCTTTTGGCCGTAGCTTCTGGCCACCGATTGTGTTTGTCATTTCACTGGATTGAAACGTCAAGCTTATAGAACTGGGCCTCTCTTTTTTCTTTTTTTAAATTAATAAGGTTATGGAATTTTCTGTTCTTGTTATAATCATTTATATTAGTTGTTAATGAAAACATTGTTAAGTTAGATATTTCAACTAAAAATCAATTGATGATAAGTAGAGTAGTCCATCTATCTTATATATTGTTTAGGATCTCTTCCAACTACCCAAATGTGGGATCTATGTGCCTAATACATTCCCTCAACTACTCAGAATGTTTGATAAAGGATCGATGGACCAAATTTGGACACATATTGATAATGGATCGAATTACACTTTCGTGGATCGGACTCTAATACCATGTTAAGTTACTTCAGCATGATGGAATCCCAACTAGCCATTGGAGTTACTCTTTTGAAACTGCAGTTTACCTTATCAACCATCTCACCTCACCATCACTTGGCAACACGTCTCTTTTCCACAATCTCTTCAAGACATCACCAAACTACAACAAGCTACGAGTTCTGGATGCTTATGTTATCCATGGATCCGACCATATGGAATCAAATATTCAAAGCCCATCTAACTTAGTGTGGTATTAGAACCCACGATCCATGCAATCTAACCCGATCCATTATCGATTCAGCCAAAAATCGACCCATCAATCCTTATCCAAACATTCCGAGATTAATGCTCGAATAACCATCACCTCGAAGGGACGTATTTGGGACAAATGTCTCACATCAGTTGAAAGGAATCCTAAGTAGTATATAAAATAGACGGACCAATCCAATTATCACCTATTGGTTTTAAGTTGGAAGTTCATAGCTTAGCAAATATCAACTCTAAACATGTTTAACCGTTTCAATCATACCGTCTGTCAATTACTACGATATCGATTTTCATGGTAATATTTTGGGAACTAGCCTCACTTAGATTTGACTTTCAGTGATTTAATTTGGCGAAGCTATATCGGATCACCCTGACAACAAGTCAACAACAACAGTTCAAGAACCAAAGCTAGATGGATGATTAGTGAAGATGTATATTGTGTAAGTATTTTTGAAATATTACAGGAAGATAGTACATGCGTGTGATTGAAGTTCATGTTTTGTAATGTCTGTAAACTTGTTAAGCGTGGAGAAGAGGTAATATATTTCTGGAGGTATTTATATTAAATTTACATAATATTACTTGAAGAAAAAAAATGTAAAAGAGATATTCATTAAGAAAAAAATGAAGTTACTTTTTTGGAATAACTCGTGGAGCAAGTTTTCGTTATCTATACAAAGAGAATGTGTCTCTATAAAGAAATGTCAAAAAAAAATAAAAATGGAAAGATCTTTGTTTGGTGTTTCTGTGATTAAATTTTTGATGTCACTCCTATGTGTTAGGTGATGACGTAGTTATCGATGTACTTCCAGAGTGATGGCAGATTGAAATGTAGATGTAAGAGGAAGTTAAACTCATGATTAGGTGATCTTGATTAATCAAAATCTAGACTTTATGGTAATTATTAGCTTAGGATTGAAGTATCATAGAAAATTCTTGTAATAGAAAGATAGATGTAAAGACTTTTCTGCTCTAATGAATTTAAAAGGTGACTTGTGCCTTCTTTACTTTCTGCTATTTATTTTCTGCTATTACAATTAGTTGAATGGTAGTTGTAGAAATTGTACTAAAATAAATATATTGGTTTGTTTTTGGGCGTTGTTGATATAGCACCATCATGAATTAAATTCATACAATAAATATGGTCCTGGTTTTATGTAATGACACGTAATGGCCATAATTTCCATTCAGATTGATGAGAAATGTGCTAAGCAAAGAAGACTATGATGGCAAGACAATGAATTAATATTTGCTCTTGTATCTCCAACTATCAATTTTCAAAGAGAAAGTTTTTACCCTGTAACACATGTTATGATCATCCCCACACAAAACATCGATTACTGTGAGCTATATTCATTTATTTGGGATACATGCTATTTGGGAATCTCATTTTAGAAAGACAGCAAAAAATGGTAACGAAATTGTCAAAAAAAATATCTAGTCTGTATGATCGTTGTTCATGCAGATTCGAGGACATTTAATGAGGCCTAATAACTCGTCACCAATAAAACATGTTTTCCCTACTCCTGCTAAAGATGCACTATAACTTAAAATATGATTATTTTACTCTTCAAAAACTAAATTTAAAATTTTATATATATATATATATATATATATATATATATATATATATATATTTGTATTTTGATCTTTACAATTATACATTTATAAATCTAAAAAATTTGTTGTTCATCATTTTGACCCTTAAAATTTGTATATCTTATAAATATTTCCAGTTTGTTTTTGTAAATTTAAATTTACATATAAAATTAAATAAAAACTTTAAAGTAATATTTAAACTATCTTAAAACTAGATTTAGACAACAATACTATTACAAAAGAAACTTAACAATTTTTTTAAGTACATGAATACAAAATTACTACACGGATTTTATTACTATTATAACACTAATACTAATCTAGTTTGATCTGGAACCTCATAATCTCCAAAATATTCTCCTAACAAATTTATTGTAACCGAAGATGGTTGTTTCAAATTTTGTTCTAAACGTCTTTTTGTATGATATTTTTTTGTTCAGATTGAATGTATTCACGAATATTAATATCAGCGATAGTAGTTAATTCTTTTAGCAATTTTTTTTTCCTCTTATACTTATTTCAAAAGTAATTTTTAGTTTCATTTTTGCATTTGTAATTCAATCATCTCATAACTCTTTCCCTTGTTTGTTACATCTCATTTAAAAAAAAAAGATTTGTTCATTTAATGATATCAAAGTATCAATGGCCATATTAAGTGGTCTTCTATTTGAGTTTTTCTTTCTTTGATCCAATAGGATGTTGTAATGAATTTGATCTACTATCATCACTACTTAAATTGATTGAAAATGAAGGATTTCTCCAAGATTGTGATAAGAATGTCATTTTCACTTCAAAATTAATTATTGATCATATATGAGAGAATTATAGAAATAATTTTATGAAATGCTATTTTCTTGTAATTTAGCATTTAATTATGTATTTCTATGTAAATTTTAATATTTTCGCGTAGAATTTTATTAATTATTATTGCTGTAATATTTTCTATATGTGCAAATTTTAATTGATTGTGAAAAATATAAGACTCTTAGTATAAAATACAAATACAAATGCTGTTGAAGTTAAGTTAGGAATTTTAGTTTTGGATGAGAACACTTTTAAATTTCAAATATGAAATTTTGTAAACTTTAAAGTATATCATCTTTTTGGAGATGATCTTAGAAATCTTTTGGACTTCTTTTAAAGGGAGATTTGTCAAATATGACTCATAACTTGATTTTAAATGCAAAAATATACCCCAACTCAAATCAAATGCAAAACTAACTCAAAAGGTTAGTGAATACAAATATCCCCTCATGACCAAACAAAAAAAAACATGATTGTAATTTACCATTATAACCTTACGAGTGAGAACACTTTCATGTAAGTCTTCTCATGATAAAACTTACCTGAAAGTCTTCTCATGCTGTAGATCTTAAAAATAATTTATAAATTTAATGAAAAAATATTTTGATATGGGAAAATCATAATCATCTAATTATAGATATTTTTAAATGATATAAATTTATATTTAATAAAATTGATTTGTTTTCAACATATATGAATGAATGTAAATTAATCATGGTATTATTTGGTTTATGGTTTGGTAACTATGTTGTAGTATTGTATGTGTTTTTAGGGTTAGCTATATGTGTTTACTTTTATGTATATAAAACACTTTATAAGTTTAATATAGGT